CTAGTCACTTGAATCTTTCTCTTCTTTTCTTTACTTTTCTTGATTTGGGGTAAGTCATTCTAAAATTTACTTATGAGGCGGTTAATTTCGTTAATGCACGGACTACTTACTTTATCGGAGAGACGATCAAATGATAATAAATGTAATCCATTTTATGTACGTACATGAGACAATGCAACATATGCCATACCATCCCCAAAAACATCAGTCAATAAATCAATCATGGCTGTATCTAGTGAGAGGCCCCGACATTTATGTATAGTAATAGCATCAGAAAGTATAAGGGGAAACTTTTTCCTATGTATACAAATTTTTAGATAGCATAAATCTAGATGTAACACTTTCTATGTCACAAGGTACATCATTATGATCAAATTTAATTGATATGTAGCATAAATACCCATTACTGTACCAATGGCACAATTAACTAATCCTATAGTCATGTTAATATTACGTCTTAGCATTACTCTATAGCCTACAGCTAAAGACAATAAAGTTTCTAAACCAGCTGTTTTGCTTCGTTGATCTTTTAATTTCTCTAATTTTTTTCTGCTTTTTTTGTCAAATTTTGCTGTGCTGCCACTTTCATCAACAACATCAACACAAGCTAATTCTATTTTCTCAGTTTCTAGACTTTCTAACATTAATTCATTGATTTTTTAGCAGGTGTCTAGCTTAAAAAATAGGCAAATTGGAGGATTCGTTGCTTTATTTTCCAATTCTTTACATTTTTCTTGTATGGAAACCTTAAATATGCAACTCTTAAGCGTATTAATAGTTTCATCAGTCAGACAGCCATGCCTAACAGAATCAAGCATCTTAAAGAATGTTTCATCTCCTTTTTGTCACTTATTGATTGTTAGTTCATCATATTTTACTGTTTCTTTTCATATGTTAACTGCATTTGATGCTCCAAGTCTAGATTTTACAAGTTTGTTGCTAATTTTTTTAAATACTGCTCTATCATTAACTGGTGGCAATTGTAAGGTCACCTACAATTAAAATAATTTTGGATCCAAACCATTCATCAGTTCCAAATATATCTTCTAAGTGCATGTGTAGGTATGCTAGATTTAGATTGGATAGCATAGATACCTCATCTACTATTATAATTTTTAAATTTTTAAGTGTAATTTTTATCCTTTGCTGAGCTTCTTCATTCAAAGCCCAATATCCAGCTGTCTTTCCCTTATGCTCTATTGGTGGCTGAAATAATCTATGAATTATTGGTCCACCTACTTTAAATGCGGCTATACCTGTTGCTACTATAGCACACATAATTTGATGCCATTCTGGATGCCATATGTCATCAACTAGGCATTTTATTGCCTCTATTAAAAACGATTCACCAGTTCCACCTACACCATTAATAAACATCCTTAGCGGTTTGATATTATCTAATGTAAGTAGTCTTGAAGACTCATTCCTTAATAAGTTTTCACGTCCTTTTTGACTTAAATGATGACTCTTAATTTTATCAAAAATTTTTTTTGATCTACATTAAGCATTGCCTCTCTTTGCTCTCATGTTAAATTAGGTACATTTATGTGCATGTCTGCAATATCAGCTACTGCTTCCATTATTTCACCCAGTAATTGAGGCTCATCATCATCTAGTAAAACCAGCTTTATTTCTTGCATCGACTATTTTCTTCCAATTACGTTCAGCTTCTAATAATTTCTGTAGTTTGTTGAAATGAGTCTCAATGCCACATATACATGCTTCTTTGTGAAGCCTAAAACCTTCTCCATTGTTTCTCCTTCCATTACAAGTGTGCTCTTGTCTCTAAAAGGCACAAATAAAAATATTAGCAAGTAATAAAAATTGTCTCTCCGCTTATTGCATATCATTAAATTTCCTATTGTTTGGAAGGACTGGCTTTGATCGAAGTTTGTATTCTCTTTCTCTATTTTCTCCTATTTTATCAAATATATAACTAGTAACAAATTCATAGAGATACGTCTTCCATGTTATTTGGTCTTGTTGGATATAAGTCTTCAATTATGTTAGGATTAAAAAATGTCTTTCGAAGATCGATCTATTTTAGTTCAATATGAATAGTTTTTTATTCTTCTGCTCCTCTTATGAGGCAAGTACACATTAATGTACTGTATGGTTACCGATTTCATGTATAATTTTTGACTGAGAAGATCACTTGCTTGATATAGTCCTACTTTAGCTCAAAGTAATTTTTGTCCCATTTTCCAAAGCCTGCTGTATATTTTGTCACAGCTGCTAACTTCATCCCATAAGTCCTGTGCATGATTTTTTTCTGCTTTAGTGTATTCTGGTGTATAAAGTGACACATTCCTCTTCCCATAACTTAATAGCTCTGCTTCACTCCTCAGAAGATGAAAATTCTGAGCCAACATTTACAAGTGGTAAGTTATCAGCCATCGCTACAATTGATGGGCGTGGTTTTGCTTGTCAAGGTGTGGTTAGGTGTAGTTTTGTACGTTGCCGTAAAAATAGACATACGAGCACGTTTACGGGACCGTAAAAATAGTCACTGCGGCGAAAGATTGTCACCTGCATAGACAAAAGTAGCTAAATATCTTTGTTATTGTAGCTTAGCTTTCTTTATTTTTGCTTTGTAGTTCTTTATTCTTATAAACAGATAAAAAGCAGTCTAGTACAAGTATGATTTTTTTATTCGATGATGCTGGTACAATAACAAGCTCTAATGATAAAAGCAAGTACATGTATGTGTTTTATTGAAGCCAACCTTTCTTTATTACACTTTGTTGTTCTTCATAGTTATAAACAGACAAAACGCAGTCTAGTACAAGTATGATTTTTTTATTCAATGATGCCGGTGCAATAACAACCTGTATAAATAAAAGTAAGTACATGTATGTGTGTTATTGCAGCTTACCTTTCTTTATTATACTTTGTTATACTTTATAGTTAATAAACATAAAGGGGAGTTGTTACAGGTGTGATTGATGGTGCACAGAGCCTTTTTGACTAGCAATCATGTTGCCCCATGCGTGCATGCATGCATCTTGTTATGCCGCATGATTTTGTAAAAGATTGTGCCTAATTTCAGTTTCAGTGTGCATGTACCTTGACACTTGTGTAAACAGTATACACTGTCAAGCACCCATATAATTGTTTCAATAAAAACATGAATCTTGTCTTACAAAAAAAATAACTTGATAAACTTGTCTTAAGATACTATTAAGGTGTTATTTCAACAAAACAAATCCAATAACACAACTTTAATAAACATTTTGGGATACGATATGTTTTGTAAATTATCACTGACCTATAGGCTAAATAAACTTATGGCCAAACTAACACTATGTCAAGCAGGACAAATAATGCCGTCCTACATCCATATAAGTGATGTTTTGCTAAAACAGGCATCAGAAATCAAGTTGCTAATGTACATCTACAACGTACAAGTGTAATGTAGGGTAGCATTATCCTTCTATGTACTTCACCTCACTAAGACTTATACTTGTACATGTATGTACATGCACTGACACACTCTCTCTCATTATTTGACTCGCTGCGTAGGCAAGTATTAAGTACCTTAAAGCCACTTATTTTTAAGTGAGCAAATATTTGTGATTTGTTAATGGTATTGATTTAGTGTGTACTAATTTTCATGATTTTTAATTAATAACTATTAATAAAGCTAAATTATTAATAAATGCTTTGCATGCATCTGATGATCTGTCTGTACTGTGATCATGAATTTTAATTACGGTAGATTCTTGAAAAATATTTTTAATTAAAAAAACTAAGTTCTCTAGGCTCATAGATCTTTCTCCATAGCTAGTCCAAGCCTTCATTTATCAGCTAAACATTTTAAAAGAGCAGTAAAGGAGAAAATTTCTAAAAGCTATTGCGCTGACACTCTCGAGATAGACAAAACTATTTTCCAGTACAAAACTATCTTCTATTTCGTTAATATGTGCAAAATTTCTTAATTCTTACTTGGTTACTTGGTAGAGACTTATGCTCCAAACCTCATCCTGGCTGTTATAAGGACTCTGGGAGCAATTTTGATCTCTCCTCGTATATTTTTCCTTTGTATACACAGTAATTCCAGGGCTACTAACCTTAATAAACTCAAACACAACACTCCCCACCGTTTACTCTTTCATCCCGCTTATATTTCAATCGTCTTCCCAGACTCTGGAATAAACTCCCTGCCTTTGACCTTTCCCTATCTATCGACACTCTTTGTATTAAGCTTAAGAAATTCCTTTGGTCCTATTTTTTAGAACACTTTGATGGTAACAATCCTTGTACTTTTAGTTTTATGTGTATATGTAACCATAGATACTATATACCCCTGGATACGAAACTCCTCTATGCACACATATAAAATCCCATAAGGAAACGTCATAAACGTCACATCCGGCTGTCCTCACCCTTGTTTCGCTGCATTCATGGCTGCCAGGGTAAGTAAAACAATCACAGTAGCCTATTCGTTTGTTAAAGTAGCTGAATGATCCCTCAGAGGACTTTGCAAAGCCTTTATATATTGAAATAATGCTCATAAACGATAGTTTGAGTGCATATTTTAGTTCTACAATGGATGTCATAGCCTACTTGTTGTGTACATTTCACTCAAGCCACTTTTTTAGCTTAACTCTGTTGAATTAGGCCAACATTTTTTATTGCACTGATAGGTTATTGTTTACTACTTGTAGTGGGGCTATTATTTAGAGTTTGTGTTAAGTAAAAGAGCTGTTATTTTCTAAATCTTGGTTTTTCAGTCAAGCCCCACCTTTCTAGCCAATTTTTCTTTGTAATACTTGACTTAATTGGAACATTTTCTATATGGTTTTGTAGCTTGAGAATAGGTAGTTGTAGTGGGCCTATTCTCAAAAGGAGTGTATTTTTAGTTTTGGTGCAATTGTGTTGTCAAAATCATCATTTTTAGGTGACAAGAGATGGGAAAGTCATGCATTGGTAGACTGCATATACTAAAAGAAAAGGAAAGTTTCAGCAATTATAATGCATGATTAATGTCAAGTTTTATTGTATTATTGTACATAAAATCACACTTTTATTAGCAATAATAATACTTTTTATCATTGTTTTATTTTTATTCTGAATGAAAACGTAATATTATGACGTATTTCCGGTGAAACAAGCCTCAGAACATCCGGTCGGGCCGTGTTTCATATCCAGGGGTATATAGTATCTATGATGTAACAAATGTTTGTCTTTGCCTACACCCACTAACTTATCTAGTTTCTAATGTTTTTACTTTCCTTTTCTCTAACTGTCTTATTTATGTACTACTCTACTCTTATTTATATTGGTATGCAGCTTCTCTGTTGCATATCCATCAGGCTACCCCTTTTCCTTCTTTCCCTCTGTCTCTCTATCTCTCTTTTTACTACACCTGTAAAGTGTTAAATAATAATAATAATAATAATAATAATAATAATAATAATAAATATATCTAGGCAGCAGTATTGTACCATACCATATCACTTGACATAAGTCACATATTATCATGCTAAGCAAAGAAACCACGCCTCTATTAATACCGGTAATTGGAAATTTTATTTCTTAATGTATAATTTTTTTGTTTCCTGTCTTATGATCTCTTAGGCAAATAAAATTTATCAAGACTGTTAACAGTATCTGAGCCATCAAAATAGGTGTTAGTTTTAAAGCTCTTTTGACTTTAGTCAGTGCAAAACATGCATGCACTATAAAGCAATGAATTAATAGAGATGAAGCCTATGATTCATTACTTTTAATAGTACATAAATGCAAGAGCAACTGTGGCGAGTCTAAGCACCGTAGGTGTCTCATCTTACTATTATTAAAAATCCATCCTTTATCAAACTCTAAAGGAGACAATGCTATTTCCCAAGGAGAGCTTCATTTTAATGTGCAAAAATAACTTTGTAAAAATATACATGTGTCATAGGTGTAGGAATGTGGGGGTGGGCTGAATCCCTCAACTTTTCAGCATAGATATTAGCATTATGTACTCTTGATATTAGAGTAAATGAAAGGGATTGGAAACGGGTGCGTGGGCGTAGCCCAACCTCCATTCATTTGTATTGTTACTAAGCAAGCAGAGGAGGGTTGGGATTTTGTCACTATTTTCATGCTACTTTTCCTTCTTTCAGGAGCTATATCTGGCGAAGGACTGTTCTCATTTCAGTGAAACTGATGCATCAAGAAGCTTGATGTTTCCTCTCAACACTACTGTTATCTATTGTACAGAAAATGTTATAGTTTTAATGATACAGCCCATTTTTACTCTTAAAATGCCATTTATTTCATTATTCTCCCTTTTCTCAAAACGTGCCAAAGTAAAACTAGAAACCATTATAATCATATGAAAGACCTTACACTTTCGAAAGTAATTATACAGGTTAGAGTTAGAATCTATAAAGTATGAGTTTGTTACAAGAGCTAAAGTGTATCGAAAAAAGTTGATTTTGTTGTACCTATAACTGTTTGCAAAATAGCTTTACAGAGACAAAAAACTTGCTGTAGGTAGCTCTAAAAATTATATGTGCAATAGGCTATAGATCATAAGCAAGCGCTGTCCTGGAGTGACACAAGTTTCCTTCGAATTCCTTGCAGGACAGCTTCATGAATGGAGGACATGATGGTTGTCACGTGGTAACCCAACTAGCATTTCCTGTTGCTACGCCCCGTTTCCAATCCCTTTCATTTACTCTATTATCTATGTTTTCAGCAAGAGGGGCTTAGCCCCACCCCCCCCCATGTTCACATGCTAAGTCATGCTTTATAATTTTGAGCCCCCCCCCCCCCAACTTTTGAATCATTCCTACGCCTATATAGACACGACAGCATTTACCATTAA